CATATTACTATATATATATGTAGTATATATATATATATGTGTGTGTGTGTGTGTGTGTACAAACGTGTATACGTGTACGTGTGTTTGTGTGTTTGTGTGTGAGATAAAGAGGATGTATGTGTATTTGTTTATGTATTGAACCTAGTTTATCATAATGAATGCCTTAACACACACTTTTTGCGTATTAAAAACATACATAACTATATGAAATGCTATATATGCACATGGTAAAATATAATAGCCCCGCACTGCATAAGAGCATGTCGCTAACTAATACTATCAAAGAAACAACTTTGAGTGTGAAAGACCTCACCTTTCTTGTTGCCGGCTTTGTTGAGCTTCTTGGCTGACTCTAATTCGTCTTGGATCTTCTTGTTTAGATGTGTCTGTCGTTTCATCAACATGTCCTGTGTTTGTCGCAGATTCTGGATACTCTCCGAGGCTGGAGGGGCCTTCTTGGCTTTAGAAAACAACTTCATTCTAACTGTACAACAGGATATATACAACTACACACGGGTTTGGTTAAATGGGGGCTCAGGTGAGGCTATCGCGTAAAGTTTTTGAAGTATGTGCTTATAATATGCTATATAAACATATACTCATGTATGCCCATGTATATAATACATCAATCAAATTTCTAAATATCCATCTCTCACACTCTAAATATCTAAATATTTACATAGTAGAGGGAATATGTATATGTTACGACATCTTTTTCTGGAAACAAAAGCGTTGATTGTGTCGCGCGTTATCATATCGCACACAGGAGGCTATGCAATATCTATTTTTTACAACAAAAATAAACAAAACAATAGTTTACGATGAGTCATACACAATAACCAGACACTTATCTGTTCTTTCAAATGTAACTTCAATGATCGTTGATATGCGTACGGACAAGCCACACGAACACATGCGGTGCGCGAATTTATTTGTCACTACCGTTCTCTTAATATTAGCATACTGTTCATAATAAGTATACATGTATATATCCATTCTACATAAAAAAATATGTATATATATGTGTAAAATATGTCGATATATATATATATATATATATATATATATATGCGTGTGTGTGTGTATATGACTGTGTATCTGTGTGTATGTGCGTGTGTGCTGTGTGTTCATATATATATATATGTGTGTGTGTGTAGTGTGTGTGTGTGTGTGTGTGTGTGTGCGTGCGTGCGTGTGTATGTATGTATGTGTATATGTATATATACATATGTGTATATATTGAACCTTTTGTTGTTTCTGAATGTTAGTCAATATTATTGTTGCGATTTTAATTACATTCCTACGTGTATATATGACGGCTGCCAATTTCGTTCAATAACCGACATCCACTTGTTTAGCAAATGGCGATACAACTTTAAAACTGCTCAATGTGCTTCATCGACGCCTTGTCTATAGATTTCATACATTTGTGTTCGTATGAATTCGCAGGGGTGATTCACATCTACGCTGACGAAGTCCTATAGGGGCATTTCCAATACGTTGGTCCTACGCAATCCGTATTATGTGATGCGAACGTGTACTCTTTTGCCAACTGGTGTAACCGTGGTACAATCATAGCTGATTCAGCCTGACCTCTCGAAGTTTCAAGTACATAATCTCGACATTATGCACAGGTGGAATTATCAATTACAGACAATCCATCATTTGCTACACCTCACTGAGATCAGAAGTCACTGCCGACGTCTTGTCGACACATGGATGGCATCAGTTAGTCACAAATTTTCTTCCAGAAATAGATGCCTGTCGCAAGGCTTTCAGGTGTGTGTGACACAGCCGAAGCCTCTTTACAGCCGAAGACAAAGACACCTCATACTATAACCAGTGCATCAAGCTGTGAACTGCAAATGCGAGTCTACTTGAATCCCTTTTTGGCAGGGTGATCAAGATGCTAAGTTCCGACTAATCTCGTTTGGGTACAAAGTGTGCCATATCGAGGTCGTTCCACTTATCGAACTCCTCTGCCAAGTCGACCTCATTTGTTTCTTCGGCGGTAATGTCGTCGAAATTCTCCAGTGTTATGGACAGCTCTGGGGGTAAAAGCGTCTCTTCATCCGGTAATTTGAAACTACGCCATTCGTCATCAACGATAAGGGTCACACTCACGTTCTTGTGCAGTTCCGAGTAGACGCTATCAGACTGCATGGCGAGATAGAGTTGTCGAGATTGTGTGAAGGTTAATTAAGTTGTGTTCAGGTGAAATACTAAATATGCCCTCTGTTGACAACTACTCTAGGAAGTAGGAGAAGTATATAATACATACATTTAAAATTATTTACACATGTATATACATCAAGAGATCTACGAACAGGTAAATACCTTTAACCTTTATGGAAGAAACTATTGTATCTACTTCTGTGTACAATGTTTTTTATTTCAGAACCGCTCTCTCTAGTAGTGTAGTCGGGTACATAAATACATGCACTACAACGACAATATCGTTTTCAGTTTTTGATTTTCATGGCCCTCTTCTGCCTCTCACAACTCACCTACATGGTCCAAAAATTCGTCCTAAAAACCCCCCCGTGATGTGTCTCAGCTCTCAATTCTCAACTCTCACACTTCAGTCTCTCGGAGAATTAGTCCTTCTTTTAAAAACAAAATATACTTCAGAAAAAAATCATTTTACATTGGTTTTTGTTTTCTAAAAACCCTCAAAATATGGGTTTTTTACAAATCTATTTACAAGACAAAATAAAAAAGTATTTATTTTATCTTTTTAAATAAAGTGTCTCATTTTTTAATTTATTTTTTACAAAAATCGAAGGCGAGCCGCAGGCCGCGAATAGACCTAAGTATGGAGACTTTGACTATAAAATTAAAAATATGACATGAGCTATTTATGATTTTGATGAGTAGTTACTAAAATACGGAACCAAACTTATAACTTTTTTAAAACAAAATATTAATAATAAAAATATCTACTATATAGAAGGCTCTATGAAAAAAAAATGGTTTTTTATATTTTAAGACTATGAAAAAAAGGTATATATATGTATCCATCCAGTCATCCTGAGACCAGTCCTGAGATCGGTCATAAGATTCGTCTTTCTACTCTTTCGTATGGGTCGTGAAAAGTGTATACAGTTATCTGTTATTAACTTATTCTATACACCAACGGAGAGGCTGGGGCTGGCAGCTGGTTGTTGTAAATATTTAGAACGTTGGCAGTTGGCACTCATCATGTGTCGAGTCACTCGAGTGTCGAGTTGTCGACTCCTGGAGTCGGTCCTATGCCAAATTGCCAACAGCCAAAATACCACCCGCTGACAGGCTGCTGTATAAAACGCCGACTAAAGGCAAAGTATTTACATATACATATTTTACAAATTTTTAAAAACATTTAGGCGTATTATAGAGGGTTTTGTTCTTAACCGTCATGACTTCTGCCAAATATTAAAGCCCCTGCGGCTTGCTGTATTTTCCAAATATCTTTATAATATTGGCGTAGTCGCGATCTAAACTTAATATATAATGAAAAATCGGGACAACACACGACAAATCACAACTGATTTTGATTTTTAGAAGTTGCGCCTTGAAAATTGAAGGAATTCTTGGATATTTGATTTATTAGAAAAAGTTTTTTGGCTCAGGAGTTCCCTAATTTTTTTTTCCCTTATTTTTTTTAACCCACCAGAGCATCTCAAAGACTATTTCAGAAGAAGACTAATAAAAGTAAAAGTGAATGAAGTGTTCCATGATGACTGGGAAAAGTATATCAACGGCATTCGCGATTGTATGTGCTTGTTCTAATAAATACCAGTAGAGAGGGTTTAGTTCAAGGGTTTGACCTAAAGTAACACGAGAGTGCTCAAATAAACAAGCCGTCATTCGTCTGCTCTCCACACACATAGGCACATATCGCGAACACGGCTATGTCAGAAGGAAATAGACAACCATAAGGTCAAGAGAATTCGAGTTTATTTAGGTTTCTGTTGGACCTAATTTGTTGGACGAACTTGTTCGGAAAGTGACAACTACTTCGGATATAAATGTGTTCGCGAAGATGAATTCTGCCAAAAAACCACCAAACGACAATATGGAGGTATGTTTCAAATTCATGCGACTTGTGAAACCATGCTTATGTTCATGTATGAGATAGTCGAGCTTCATAACTGCTAATATTTGTTTACGCACATGATAACATTAGGATGGGGAATGGACCTTTCAACTCATTGAATGTGTAGAATTTCCAAAAGCATTTCTTATGCAAGTGTGCGCAATAACTGAATACATACATATCTAAACGTGTATATTATATATAGATATACATATATATATCCATATATATATATATATGTGTGTGTGTGTGTGTGTGTGT